GCAAAAGTTGCCTCACATCTTTTTACTTTCTTGAAGGTAAGGACACTTAGCTAGGTCAGGTGACTCATGCCTGTAATCCTAGCTATTTGGGAGGTTGAGATGTGCAATGTATATGAGGGTGCACAAATCTCTTCTAAGTCCTGTTTTCAATCATTTTGAATAAGTACTCAGAAGTGGAATTGCTTGATCATGTGCCACATTGATTTTATTTTTTTGAAGACTCTTCATACTGTTTCTCGTGGTAGTTACAATTTTTGTTCCCATCAACACTGATACTTATTTTATTATTCATTTATTTATTTTTGTGGTACTGGGGCTTGAACTCAGGACCTACTCCTTGAGTCACTCCCCCAGCTCTTTTTCTTGATGGGTTTTTTTTGAGATAGGTTCTCACAAATTATTTCCCCAGACTGGCTTCAATCTCTTCCTAATCTCCACCTCCTGAGTAGCTAGGATTACAGGTGTGAGCCATTTATTTTTTAAACACTAGCAATCCTAAAGTGTGAGATTTTTCAATTTTCATTCCCTTGATGATTAGTGAGTTGAACATTTTCCTATACTTGGGTATTTGTATGTCTTCTTTGGAAAAATGTGTAGTCAAGACGTTTGCCATTTATTAATTGGGCTAATATTTATTTATTTATATTATTTGAAAGCAGTATGAAGTTCTCAAGAAACTAAAACTAGAACTACTATAGAATCCACTGATACCACTCCTGGGCATATAACTGAAGGAATGTGCTCCAGAATATAATAAAGCCACTCGAACACTCATGTTTATTGCAGCACTATTCACAAGCTTTAGAAACAGCCCAGATGCTCCACAACTGATGAATGGATTAAGAAAATAAGAAAATGTGATATATATATATATATATATATATACAATGTGATATATATATATATATGTATATACAATGTGATTTATTCAGTCATAAAGTAGAATGAAATTATGTTGTTTGCAGGTAAATGGATGGAACTGGAGGACAAAATGTTAAGTGAATAAGTCAGGCTCAAAAAGTCAAAGATCACATGTTTTGCCTCATATATGGAAGCTAGGCCTGTAAGTTAAAGTTAAATGTAAACATTAATACATATATGAAGGAAGGGGAGAGGAGGGAGAACAATGGAGTGGGGCAAATCTAAGATATTGTAAGCACATATGTAAATATCACAATGTATTCCCCCATGCAACTATTATATATATGCTAATTAAAAAGACTTTTGCTGCTTATTAATTGAGCTGTTTATCTATTTGCTACTCAGTAGTAGGAGTTTTAGTATTTTGTTTTTCACTTTCATTTATGTAGAGAAATTCTTAACTTTCTCTTCTGACTTCCTCCATGATACACTTTTCATTCAAAAGTGTACTGCTCAGTCTCCACCCATTTGTACAGTTACTAAAATTTCGTTTGTTGTTGCTGTTGACTTATTTTATTTCATTTTAATCAGAAAATATGCAGGACATGATTTAAGTTTTTTGAACTTACTAAGGCTTATTTTCTAGCTTAATAGAACTTTCTAGGGAAAGTTTGATATGCTAATGAAAAGAATGTGTATTCTGCAACTGTTTGATAAGTGTCTTTTAAGTCCATTTGAGCTATAGCATAAACTCTGACCTTCCTTCCTTGCTTCCTTCCTTCCTTCTTTCTTTCCTTTTCTTTCTACTGAGAATTGAACCCAGGGTCTCACATATGCTAGGCAAGTGCTCCTCCACTGAGCTATATCCCCAGCCCTTCTTATTTTTTAAAATTTTAATTTTGAGATAAGATCTTACTAAGTTGCCCAAGCTGGCCTTGATTTTATGATCCTCCTGTTTCCACCTCCCAAGCAGTCAGGATTACAGATATGTGTCACCATGATTGGATGATTCTGATGTGTTTTTTTTTTTGATCTTTTTTGCCTGTATGATGCAGGGTGGTGATCAAAGTGGGGGTGTTGAAATCCTTCGCAGTTAATGTATTGGAGTCTATCTATCCCTTTAGGTCTATTAGTGGTTTTTTAATATATATAAAATTGAATGTTCTAGCAGGTCTCATGCCTATAATCCTAGCTTCTTGGGAGGCTGAGATGGGGAGGATTTGAGGCCAGCCAAGGCAAATAACTTGTGAGACCCCCATCTCCAAAATAACCAGAGCAAAATGAACTGGAGGTGTGGCTCAAACAGTAGAGTCCCTGCTTTGCAAACATGAAGCCCCGAGTTCAAACCCCAGAATCACAAAAAAAAAAAAAAAGTAAAATTGGATGTTCCTACTTTAGGTGCATATAGACTTCCAATCATATCTACTTATTAAGTCAGTCCCTCGGTCATCACATAGTTCTGTTCTTTGTCTCTTCTTACACTTTTTTTTTTCATAGAGTTTATTTTCTTGGATATAAGTATAGCTACTCCAGCTTGCTTTAGGTTTTCATTTGCTTTGAATATCACTTTTTAATCCTTCTACTTTCAGTCTGTGTGTCTTTACAGCATATGGTTAGATCATATGTTTTTATCCATTCATCCAATCTGTTCTTTTTAATTGGATAATTTAGCTGCCAATTAAAGGTTGATAAAGGTCTGATAATTGATAGATGAGGACTTAACTCTTGTCATTTTGTCAATTTTCTTCCAGCTATTTTACATGCTTTGTTCTTTTCTTCCTCTCTTGTTCATCTTTGTGGTTTGATAGTTTACTGTATTAATAGTGTCTGATTCTTTTCTATTTCCCTTTTCTGTATCTGATCTTTTAGTGAGACTTATATTTTCCCCTGCTTTCATGATGGTAGCTATCTTTCTTTCATTTGTAGATGTAGGACTCCCTTAAGCATCTTTTGAGGCCATTGTGGTGGTCATGAATTCCTTTGGTTTTACTTATTTTGGAAGGTCTTTATTTCTTCTTCATTATTGAAAAATATCCTTTCTGTGTATAATGATCTTAGTTGGCAGTTATTTTCTTTCAGGACTTCAAATATGTCAATCTATTTCCTCCTGGCCTATAGAATTCTTGTTGAGATGCCTGATGTTAGTCTAATGGGAATACCTTTAAACACAAGTTGTTGCTTTTGTCTTGAAGATTAAATTTTTCTTTGTCTTATACTTTTGACATTTTGACTGTAATATGCTGTGGTGAAGACTTTCTGGTCATGTCTGTTCAGGGTTCTATTAGCTTTCTGCATAAGGGCACCCATATCTTTCTGAATATTAGGGAAGTTTTCCGCTCTTATTTCACTCAGTATTTTCCATGTCCTTAAGTTTATTCTCCTTGTCTTAGCTATACTAAAAGTGGAGATGTTTATTCTTTTAATGGTTTCCTGAAGGTCTTGAATAATCCATTCACTCATTTTTATTTTTTATCTTGTTATTTTCTTTTATCTGATTTTTGTCAAAAGGTCTGTCTTCAATTTCAGATATTTTTTCTTCCATTTAATCTAATCTATTTTTGAAGATTTCACTGTATTTATTATTTGACTTGTTTATTATTGATTTATTTCTAATACTTCTGTTTGGTACTTTTTCAAAATCTCTCTGTTGAATTTGTCATTCATATTCTTCATGTCTTCATAGTTTCATTTACCAGCTTATCTGTATTCTCTTGGATCTCATGAGCTTTTTAATAATCATTTAAATATAAATCATCCAAATTATAATCTTTTAAATTTTTATTAGGCATTTCATCCATTTTTATTTCTTTGGGATCTGTTACTAAAGTTATTGTGTTCTTTTGGGAGAATCATATTACCTTTTTTCCATATTTCTTGTGCTCCAGTGTTCAGATTTTCACATCTGATGAATTGGGTAACTCTGCCACTTTTATGGGGTAGCCTTCTTAGTAAGCAACTTTGTCCTAAAGATGGGTCTTGTGGTTTTAATTTGCATTTCTTTGATGATTAGTGAATTGGACACCATTTTCTTATACCCATTTGACATCTGTATTTTTCCTTGGAAATTTGACCATTCAGGTCCAAAAGGGAAACCATCTGGCTTAAAGATTTCTTTCTTTATGCTATTGTGAAGGGAATCCTACATCTACAAGTGAATTAATTTGCCTTCTTGAATTAGGTGTATGGTTATTCAGGTTATCTACTTCACTGTCAGAGTGTTTAGATATCTTTCAAGGAATTGGTTTAATCTCATCTATTTAATAAATACTATGGGTATATAATCCATTGTATTCAATTATTCTCTGTTTAATGTTGATGGTATTGGTAGAAATAATCTCTCTTCAATTTTGATAGTGGCAATTTGAGTCTTCATTCTCTTATTATTGCTTAACATGACTACAGGTTTATTAATTTTGTTTTTCAATGAATCAACTTTGGGTTTTATTGGCTTTTCTCTATGGCTTTCCTATTTTTCAATGTCAATCATTGTGTTCTAAATTTTAACATTTCATTTCTTCTGCTTGTTTTATGTTTAATTTTCTCTTATTTCTCCAATTTTCTAAGGTAGATCTTAGATTACTGATTTTTTTCAGTGTTTCCTTTCTCCCAGTATTTCATCTGATTTATATTTCTGAATGGGATGAGAGGTGATGGGAAAGTGCAATGGGAAGATAAGAGTATAAATAAAACCTGTTTTCCTATTTTCACCCCATCTCCTAAATCTTTTCTATTTAATAATTGATGAAGTTTTATAAACCTACCAACTAAAAAAGTGTTTTCCTTCTTTCACAGGGATTCATATTGGGTTAAACACCCAGAACAAAAGACAAATACTTTACCGGAGGTCAGAAACTATTGGTTTGCCACAAATGGTAACTTTACACACTATTCTGCTGTCATTAGGTATGTATAAGGTGCTGCATGTGGACCAGTGGAAGCAACTGACTCCATCTAGGTTTAGGGAAGAATTATTTGGGGGCATAGTTCTTTCCATCAGACCCTACAGTTTTAAGAGATATATCTCATCTCATAAGACTTCCCTTTCCTTTAATAATTTCTAAAACTGTTTAGCATTGTGTCATTCACAGTCAGTGATGCAAATTAATGGTCTAGTGATCTGGGTAGCATAACATTCTTACCCTCTCTGGTTCATCACCCATGATAAACCAGTACAGGTGACCGTTTAGGGTCTTATCTATATAAAGAGCTCTGAGTTCCTTGGAACATACAGCTTCCTCTCTCCCAGGAGCCATGAATTTCCCAATGCTGACCTTCATTATCTGTGGGTTGCTAACTCAGGTGACCAAAGGTAATGGAGCCCTATAAAGTAGAGATGATGAAATTAGGATGAATTATTGCACACAGCCTCCCCCAGTGTCTTGAAGGAAAAGGCAAGTCTGACAAGAAATAAAGAGCAGCAGAATGGGTCTCATTTTGGCAGCTCCATGCTTCTATTCTCTGAGATTCTTTTTAAGAGGCCTCTGGTAAGCTGAGATATCCTCTGAGACATTTCTCTGAAAGGCAAGAAATGCTCTGAGTTGCCTTATCTATCTTTCTGTACAATTACCTAGTGTTGGCTTGCCCTCATATCACTTCTACTTTAACTATTTTATTGTGTCCCAATTAATCTAAATCTTCCTACCATCTTGAATTCTTCTTTGTCTTGAAAGTATGTTCATAGGAGGTCCTCATTTTTCATGTTCTTAGATACAGCAGACAAGGAGGATCTTCTGATTTTAGGGCAATATGAAGGGCTTATTCCATCATTTTAATAATCCTACTTTTGAAAATCGACTATTTCTATTGAAAAATAGTACTTACCATTGATTTATGTGTCAAGAAATTGATAGGATTACAAGAATTTAAGTAACAGGAAAATGCTCTCCAATTTAAGAACACTAGTTATCCAGTCTTCTCTTTCAGAATCAATCAATACCAGTTTCTTGTATGTACTAAGACATGTAAACATATATTTACACATTTATACTTTTTATGTTTTTAAATCTTTGTTTGTAAATGAGCCCTGTGGGTTCATTCAGCCTGTAGAGTAACATCTGTTAGAGACTTAAACATAAGCCAGCTTCATGTTTTTGATTGATAAATAAAACTTTCAGGGGATGAATGGATATCCTTGCTATTTAATTATGTCACTACTGCTGGAAAACAGCTTTTTAATGATTACAAACAATTCTGCAAGGAAAACTTGTAAACTAATGTACATATTTCTGTTTGTGACAGGAGCACACACACACACTACCAAACTACCCATTAAAAGGTTACACTGCTTTTTTGCTCCTATGACCATTTGTGAGTGTAATCTCTGCATATACTCACCAGGAATGTTTTCCTGTTATGTTTTTCCAAGTTTTACAGTCTTGTAAGAGGAAATGGAGCCCTCTCATTGCTTGAGTTTGGGGCACTTTTCAGTGTAAATGAACTTCAACTTTTATTCCACTAGATTCCCAAACTCCCTGTTACTGATTTTTATGTACTTAGAAAAATGACATGTTAAATTTGAAGGTGATATAATTTTCTTAGAAAGATGTTTTTCACTTCCATGAGGTGGCTATGAATAGGCCTGTTCTTTATATGTTGTTCACAGGGAGACATAATAAGTATGCTAAAGAGTTAGTGTCTGTATTCATTTCTAATTATTAACTATTTGTTGAAGTTTTTAAAAATTTTGAAATTGTAAGGAAGTAAAAATAAAGTTTTTCTTCATTGTTCTCCCTTAGTGTCCTTAGTTATCATTTGAATAAAAATCTGTAGTTAATTTGTAAATTTCTTATTATATCATTAATATTTTCCCACTTAGCAAATATTTTTCAAAAACCTTATTTTTGTGATTTTATAAATTTCCATAAAATGAATGTTTTGTAATTTACTTATCCAAATTATTTTGCATAAATAAGTGTATATTTTAAATACAAGGATAGTTAACAAAAATTTTCTTATATGTAAATCATTCAATACAAAATTCTTAGAAATGATTCTTCTTGTTTGCTTAATCTACTGTCAACTTTTAAACATTTGCAGATACTATAAATGAAAGATTATATTGGACTAGTCAATTTTCATTTATGTCTGAGAAATGGACAAGTCAAACTTCAAAAACAATTAATTATGTATTTCAACTTTTCTACAAATCACTTATGCCTATTTTTCTCTTTTGCTTTGAAGGGCTGGTTTTAATTCCTCTTGATTTATGGTTTTCTTTTTGTTTTCTCTTATAGGTTCGGTCTTAAAATTTTGACTATTTAGTCTCTCGGCTTTATTTTAAGTGCTTTTAGGTGACATAGCATCTGATGATTTGTTAAGTAACTTTTCATCATGCCAAACTGTCCATCAATAGATTGTTATCAACTAATGTATTTAATATTAGCTGATTCTGCGTCTGATAATTTTTTGGCTGCTTGACTTTCCTGCCTGAAAAGACACAATTGTTCTTAGTATCTTCTAATATTTAAATTTTAAAATATTGATGATAAAAATCACATGTCCAAATGACATGAATTTTGGACTATTGAAGAGCTTTGAGGAAAATGACTGTTGTTTCTCTGAAAAAATCCATTGCTTAAGCCAAATTCTTGAAATTGTCTTTGACTTTTCTATTTCTGTGTCCCTCATATCTATCAAGAAGTCTATGTCAGCTATCTGAAAGTTACTGAAAGTTAGCTATTCCCACTGTCTTATTGTTATCTCCATCATCTAATGTCAAGCTAGCACTGTATGTGATCTTATATGGGAAGTCAGATCATAACGTTTTCTGCTCCAAACTTTGTGAAACTCAGACCAATATCCTGAGTCCTTGCAGTGATCCACCTGGCCTTACATATTCTGGCCCTTACGACCTCTCTCACCTTTTCATCTACGATTCTAATGCTTATTCAGTTCACTACAGCCACACTGGCCCTAATGCTCTTCCTCAAATATGCCATACTCATGCAACCCATAGAGTTCTGTGTCCTCTGTACTTGCCTCACACACTGGCTTGGCTAATTCCTTCACTTTCTTAAGTGCCTAATACCTTGTCATATAGACCTATATATTCCTATATATATATATATTCCTATATATTCCTGTTTAATGAACTGTGCCATGTACTCCAATTACCCTTAAGTCTGTTCTTTCTTCTTTCTGCAAACTATTCATCACCCCCTTATTACTTACTTTTTATTGTCTTTTGTCCCCTGCTTGAAAGTAAGTGCCATGCGATTTTGTATTTTTAGTTCACAAGTGGGACCAAGGGCTTTGTGGTGCCTGCACCATGCTAGGAGCTCACAACTTTGATAAGTGTATGGCTATAAACTAAATTTAAACCTGCAGGTAAGAAGAGATGGCAGTGAGAAGCAATTTTGAAGAAGAATTGGCAGAGCATAAGAAGGAAAGGAAAGTAGGACTGGTGGAGTGACTCAAGTGGTAGAGCACCTGCCTAGCAAGTGTGAGGTCCTAAGTTCAAACCCCAGGACTGCCAAAAAAAATTGAGGAAGGGAGGAAAATATAAGATGATTCAGAATTAAAATTTTGACATGCTGGGAGAAAAAAAGAAAAGATGTAATCTTCACAGAAGTGAGAAATGAAGAAGCAAGGTTAGTTTGTCTTGGATTAAAGAAGTAGCAGAGCTAAACTTGAAACTTACAGGAAATTTCATAAAGTGCAAAGTAAAATGACAAAAGATAGAATAAGTTCACTGGAGAAGATGGGCCACAGCCAACATTTCCCAGGGGAAGAAATATGAACAAACCATTGTGAGCTTAAAATATGTTGGCATGTGTAACAGCTACTACATTAAATGCAAACAAGGTTGTTTTGAAATGACTTGCTCTTCTGCATGCATTCTAGGCTTTCTCCACTATGCAACTCATGCTTAGCTACCTCAGAATCCCTGGAGAATATAGCTTGAGAAAGATGATCCTATGGTTTGCTTGATCAATGAGCATACAATGGAGCATCCTAATCACACTTTAAATTCATATCCTCATCCTTCACCTGAATAACCATACTGCTTAGAAATCCTACATTTCCCTGATGACCTAAACTTTCCTTTCCTAAACAACTGCTTTATATTGACCTTTGATTGTCTTTAATTCTCCCGCTCATGGCTCTCCCTCTATGTTTATAACTTTATCCCACACTTTGGATTAAGCAGGTGTTTTCCTTCAATCTAAGTCCCTCAGAGTTCTGTCTGTGACTCTCCTGATGTGTTTGCTCAAGGTTCCCCTCTGGGCCTGGGGTGGCCCATGATCCTCTCCAGGTGCAGGTTGGGTAAGGTGCCCAGTGGTTGACTAAGGCTCTGGACCTGATGCAGTGGCTGGAAGGGTGGTATGGGGTGGCTGCAGGGAAGCAACAGCAGCTCAATGTGGGTAGGACAGGTCCCATAGCATAGCAACTCTAGTGGCTCAGAAGCAAGCCTGGGTACAGGGAAGCTCTGGCCTGCAGCAGCAGGGATGAGGGGCAGGTGGACCAGCACATGGCAGCAGCTAGGGTGTGAGTTAGTGGAGTGGCTTCTGTGATGCAAGGAGTCTCCACCCAAGAAAGCAGGATGATGTCTCCCAATTCAGGGTGGGTCTGGGTGTGCTGCCGTGTGCATGCTGTGCTGGATTATCCTGGGTGGGAGACTCAGGGCACAGGACAGTCCAGCTCATCCCACACAAGGAAAACACCTGCTTCCTTGGAGGAGTCCAGCCACTATACACCTTCCCATCAAGGAAGCACTGACTCTTCTTTCTTCTTTCTCTCTTTCTTGTTTATATATTTATTTTTCTGTTCTTATTTTTTCACTTTCCCTGACTGTATTGTCTTCCTTTGTAATAATTATATTGTGTTCTCATGCATTATTATTTCTTACATCTTCATCCCATACAGTTCTCCTCCTCCCTTGCCTATCTTCCTTCTTCTTTTCCCAAACCCTTCTTTTTACTATTTAATTTTTAATACCTATGCCTTTAATAATTTTTAAACTCCTAGTTTGTCCTGAAAGAACCCTGGTTCCTTTCTTCTGTAATCATTTTGGAGGTGTAGTTGGTGTTTCCAATTGTTTCTTACTACATTTAAATAACTGGTTTGGTTTTGAATTATAATTTCATTATTGCTGAATGCTTTTTCTCCTCTGAGTGGCAGTGAAAGAGATATTCAACCTGCCAGATGCACAAATTGTAATATAGAAATACAATAGGAAAAAGAAAGACAATATCACTCCTCCAAATGGTCACACTCCAATAACCAAATCCAAAGATACTGGAAGGGCTAAAATGCTAGACAAAGAACTTACAACTTTACTTTTGAAAATGATCAATGACCTCAAAAAGGATTTTACCAAATAGATAAATGAAGTAAGGAAATCAATATATGACCTGGACAAGAAAATCAGCAATATGGACAAGAAATTCAAAACAGTATTGAGATTTTCTGAGGAAAAAAAACAAATGGAAATATTGGAAATTAAAATTATCAATAAGACAAATTTGACATGCAGTAGAGATTATCACCAGTAGGCTAGAACTAGCAGAAAAAAGAATATCAGGGATTGAATACAATATTGGAGAAATATTATACTCAATAAATAAAGAAAAAATAAGCATGACCACATCTTCAAGAACTCTGGGGCATGATCAAAAGACCCAACCTAAGAATCCATGGGGTAGGAGCTGAGATTAAAAAAAATAATAAAGGCATAGAAAACCTATTCAATGAAATTTTCATTGAAAACCTATTCAATGAAATTAGAAAATTTCCCAAATTTTGTGAAACATATGGACACTCACAAACAGGAGACATTTAGATTCCCAAATAGAAATCACCAGAAAAGAACCTCTCCATTCCACATTAGAGTTAATATACAAAAACTACAGAACAAAGAAGGGATATTAAAACTACAAGAGAAATATGTCAATACAGGTCAAGAAGTCAGAATTACCTCAGCTCTCCCAGCAGAAACTCTAAAAGCCAGGAAAGCATAGAATGATCTATTTCAAGCTCTGAAAGAATATAACTGTCAATCAAGATTATACATGCAGCAAAGATATCTTTTAAATTTAATGGAGAAATAAGGACTGTCCAAGATAAGCATAAGCTAAAGGAGCTCATGTCCACCAAGCCTGCGTTGCAAAAGATACTTAAAGGAATACTTATACAGATGAGGAAGAAAGACAGTCATAAGCATGAGAGGTCAGGAAAAAATACATTTCACAAGAGGAACAGATGAACACATGAACATTAGAAAAGAATCAAACATGTTCAACTCAACAAACCAGCAAAATCCCAAGATGAATAAGTATGAAAGAAAGGAATAAACAACACTTGAATTACTCTGGGAACAACAACAGAATCACAGGAAACAAAAAATTTCTCAACAATCACACTAAATGTAAATGGTCTTAATTATCCAATAAAAAGACATAGACTGTCTGAGGGTTAAAAAAACAAAATCCAATTATTTGTGGTCTGTAAGAGACACACCTCCCTGGCAAAGACACACACAGACTGAAAGTGAGAGGATGGAAAATGATATACCAAGCAAATGGAAACTGAAAGCAAGCAGCAGTAGCTACACAGCAGATTTCAAGCCTGATTTTGCCAGAAGAGAAAAAGAAAGGCAATCCATCAAGAAGATACAATGATTGAATTTATACACACCAAATGTTGGTGCATCAAACTTCATTGCACATAAAAGGACAGGTGACAGATGGATAGAAAATAACTGCAGGTGGTATTCATCAAGTTATAGATCATCCAGCAAAAATCAAAAGAAAAACTTCAGAGTTAAACTGCATGATAGAGCAATTGGACTTATCAGACATCTACAGAATATTCCTGTCAACGACTGTGGAATACTTTATTTTCTCAGCAGCTTATGGAGCTTTTTCCAAACTACATCATATTTTAGCCTTAACAAATACAAAGAAATTGAAATACTTTCTTGTTATCTTTTCGGATCATAATGGGAAAAATTAGACATCAATAGCAAGAGAAACTAGAAACTACATAAGCACATGGAAATTGAAAATAAAGTTTTGAATGATTGGTGGGTCATTAACGAAATCAGGGAGGAAATTAAAAATCCTAGAATTGCTGGGTGCTGGTGGTTCAGGCCTATTATCCTAGTTACTTGGGAGGCTGAGATTGGGAGGCTCATGGTGCAAGGCCAGCCCAGGCAAACAGTTTGTGAGACCCCGCTCCAAAATAACCAGAGTAAAAATTGGAGGCATGGCTCAAATGGTAGAGTGTCTACTTGGCAAACATGAAGTCCTGAGTTCAAACCTCAGTCCCATCAAAAAAAAAAAGTCTTAGAATAAAATGAAAATACAATTTAACCAGAATCTATGGGATACAGTAAAGGCAGTTTGAAGAGGGAAGTTTATACCTATGAGTGCCTAATTAAAAAATAAGAGAGATCTTAAGTAAATAACCTAATTATGTCCCTCACACTCAGAAAAATAAGAACAAGCCAAACCAAAAGCAGTACATGGAAAGAAACAATACAGATCAGAGCAGACATTAAGTAAATGGAGACAGAAAAACAACACAAAGAATCAATGAAACAAAGAGTTAGTTCTTTGAAAAGATAAGTAAGATTGACCAACCCTTAGCCAAACTAACCAAAAGAAGGAGGGATAAAGCCCAAATGAATAAAATTATACATAAAAATGGAAGATTATAAGGATACCAATGAAATTCAGAAGATCATCAGGGAATATTTTGAAAACTTACAGTCCAACAAATCAGAAAATCTAGAAGAAATGGATACAGTTCTAAACACGTATGATTCACATGATTTACCAAAATTGAACCAATAAAATATAAATAACTTTAAACAGATCTACAATGAGCAATGAAATCAAAGCAGTAATAAACATCCAACCAAGAAAATTCCAGGACTGAATAGATTAATCTTTAAAGAACTAACACCAATGCTCCTCATACTATTCCATAAATAGAACAGAAAAAAACACCCCCCAAATCATTCTATGAAGTCAGTATTACCCTAAGATCAAAGCCAGTCAAGGATACTACAACAAAAAAAGAAAACTATGTATCAATATCCTTGATGAATATAAATGCAAACAATCTCAATGAAATTCCTGGAATCCAAAATTCAACAGCACATCATAAAGATCATACACGACAAAGAAGCTGGTTCCATTCCAGGATGTAAGGATGGCTCAACAAATCAATACACATAATACAGCATAAATAAAATCAAGGACAAAATTCATATTATCATCAAACTTTAGTTTAGCTTCTTTTCTTCCTACCCCTCAGAAACTGCTCTTCGCGGGCGTACCAGTGACCTTCCTACCACTATATGCAAAGAACGCTTTTCTGCCTTCATCTTTCTCACCTCTCAGCAGAACTTGACCACTGGTGACCACTCCTTCCTGTAAGAAGCACTCTCTTCCCTTGCTTAGTCTGACTGTATCTAATACAACTCTCCTTATATGCTTTTGGTATTTGCTGTTTTCATGCCCACCATATCAGTCTGCCCCACAACTGTCATTGTCCCATTGCTTCACAGAGTGCTTGCAAAATTCTCCCATACAGGACATTCCAGAAATGCTAGAAAGTCATCATCTCACCCTGGGAGCATCTACCAATCCTGAGTCAGTGCTGGATAAACACTGTGGGTTCCTTTGGCCCTCCTTATGATCACTAGGCTTTTGGGGAAGCATGACTACCTGAGTTCCCCAGGGCATCATACTCTGGTCAGTTCCAGTGGTAACTGGCCTGATGACATATCTTTTTTTGATTCCTGACTTACCATTTCCCCACTTATTGGGGAGAGAGGTAATTGCCTTTCAACTAAACTATTATACTCAAATCTTTGCCCAGGGTCTGCCTTTGGGGAAACTCAAACTAAATTCTAGTATCTTTTTCCTGCTTGCTTCTGACTTATTGCCTTGTTTCTTTTGAGTCTTCCTCCTGTCTGATCTCTTGATATTGAAACTCACTAGAATTTAATCCTACATTTTTTTCTAATATTATTCCACGGCTTTATTTGTGTAGGTGTAAATGTATCTATAAGCAATGGTTCCAAAATTTACACCTACAGTTGAAACCTCTTTTCTGAGATCCTTTAGGTATATTCAACTGCTTTCTTGATATCTTAGGATTATCATATTTTATATCCTTCCCAAGAAAATATTTGATCCCACCATTTCCTTTTCCCCAAAGTCTCACTCATCCCCTAGGTTTTACACTTCAATGAATGACAATATCTCTAACCACATTTATCCCAATTCAAATATCTGACAATTCACCTTGGTTTCTTCATATTTCTCTTGCATTGTATCCAAACACTTATTGTTTTACATCATTCTGTTTTTTCTACAATAACTTCTGAGTCCCCAGTCATAGCCACCAGTAGATCATAACTAGAAGAACTGTGTCTAGCACATATCCCCGATTTTAGTCCTTCTGGTCCTTCATCTAAGCTCCTGGAATCCTAACCAAACTAAAACAGAGTTTTAGTCAATACATTCACGTCATGTTCTGAAAAAAATTAAATCTATTACTTACCTAAAGGGACTGGGCTATCTGGCCCTGCCACTCCAGGCTCTTTTCCTCTTGTGATCCTTTGTTCTTTGAACATTACACTTCAGACTAGTCATCCATCCCCAAGTCTCTTAAGTACAGTAAAGGATTTCCTCAAGACTAAGACTGAACATTGCCGATCTTTCCTGAGCAATCTTTCCTCCTGTGTATGTGGTTGACTCACTTCACCTAAGTTCAAATATCATTCTTAAGTGTGTCTGTTCTCCCTACCTGTCTTCTTTTTCTCTTCTTCTTCTTTCTTCCTTCCCTCCACTACAATTTTTTGAGGGAACATACCACAGTTTTTAAATATGTTTTGTATTTTCTTGTTTATCTCTCTCAATGGCTTTTAGTATTTGTCATCATAATAGTGTAGATAGCAAAAGTAGTTGTTATAAATTTTTGATTGAATGAAGTTGTTATGTTGATGCTGGTTTAAAATTTGACCTACTCTTCACTCCTTGCAGCTGGCTGGTCTGAATCAAAATGCTGGAAGAATGATTTAGGGCACTGCAGAAGACGATGTTTAGATGATGAAAGGTACATACGTCTTTGTAAGAGCAAGGTATCATGTTGCATTCCCATAACTTCATCACCTGTATACACTCTCAAACCTCTACCTCCCTTGTTCCATCTAGAGAATATAACCATTGATTTGAGTGAATTGACACCTTTTCCTTTATCGCCAATGTCCGGGATAAATGATGCAGTAACATTTAATGAAAACAAGATTACAGAATCCCCAAATACTTTGACTGTTTCTTCCCAGTCTGTCCCATCACCTTCTAGGATACCTCTTGTTGATTAAATACCATTTCCTTCTGCACATGGGACAACTAGAAATACTGTTGGAAAGAAAATTCAAGATGCTGATCCTACCAATGCAATTTCACTGGGAGGATTCCATCAGAGATTGGACGGCCACAGGGATGGACATAAGTGCTAAAGCCAAGACACAAGCCAAGCCTTAAGTTAGAAATGTGTAGAAGATATGAGAATTCTCTTGATTGGGCTTAAATTCTTTATCTAGCTTCTTCTGACTTATTAAAATGTAGTGGGCTAGTTTTGGTCTCAGGTGAACATTGGTGTCTGTTTTATTATTATTTTAATCATACATATTTATGGGCTATCATGTAATAATTTGATGCATGTATACAATGTACAATGATCAAATCAGGTAGGTAACATATCCTTTTTTATAATTTTAAAATTTTTTGAAATGCATGTTGTATTCGTTACTTTTCTTGTCACTGTGACAAAATACTTAAGCAGCCTAAGGGAGGTAGGATTTATTTTGGCTCAGTTTCAGAGGTGTCAGTCTGTCATGGTGGGTAGAGTATGGTGGAGCAGAGCAGATCACATCATGGCAGCCAGGAAGAGGCCAGTGAAAGCTATTATCCCCAAAGAACTCCCCCCCAATGACTTCCTTCCTCCAACAGGCTTCATCTCCTGCGTTTCACCACCTCAATATAACATCCATTATGTTATGAACCCATCAAGGAGTTAATCCATCTACCATTTTAGAGTGCTCATGGTCCAATTATCTCTAGAATGCCGACACAGAGACACGCAAAAGGTGTATGTAATCTCTTACACATCTTTCTTTTTTTATTGTTTTATTATTCATATGTGCATACAATGCTTGGGTCATTTCTCCCCCCTGCCCCCACCCCCTCCCTTACCACCCACTCTGCTCCCTCCCTCTCTCCCCCACCCCCTCAATACCCAGCAGAAACTATTTTGCCCTTATCTCTAATTTTGTTGAAGAGAGAGTATAAGCAATAACAGGAAGGAACAAGGGCTTTTGCTGGTTGAGATAAGGATAGCTATACAGGGAGTTGACTCACATTAATTTCCTTTGCATGTGTGTTACCTTCTAGGTTAATTCTTTTTGATCTAAACTTTTCTCTAGTTCTGGTCCCCTTTTCCTGTTGGCCTCAGTTGCTTTAAGGTATCTGCTTTAGTTTCTCTGTGTTGAGGGCAACAAATGCTAGCTAGTTTTTTAGGTGTCTTACCTATCCTCATACCTCCCTTGTGTGCTCTCGCTTTTGTCATGTGCTCAAAGTCCAATCCCTTTGTTGTGTTTGCCCTTGATCTAATGTCCACATATGAGGGAGAACATACGATTTTTGGTCTTTTGGGCCAGGCTAACCTCACTCAGAATGATGTTCTCCAATTCCATCCATTTACCAGCGAATGATAACATTTCGTTCTTCTTCATGGCTGCATAAAATTCCATTGTGTATAGATACCACATTTTCTTAATCCATTTGTCAGTGGTGGGGCATCTTGGCTGTTTCCATAACTTGGCTATTGTGAATAGTGCTGCAATAAACATGGTCTTACACATCTTTCAATCCAGTCAAACTGACAATGTCATACATGTACATGTACATGAGATACCTCATTGTGACACTTCAACACATGTACACAATGTATACTGATCAAATCGGGGAGGTTAATGTTTCCATCTCCTTATCATTACTTTGTGTTTGGAGGTTTTGAGCTCTCTTTTCTAGTTATTCAAAAAAATATTCTAGATCATTATAACTGTTATAATTATAACTGTTTTGGTGCCCATTATCCAACATCCCTCTATCTCCCCATCACCCATCCTTCCCAGCCCCTCCTAATTATTATTTAACATTCAGAGTGACCTTTTTTAGTATCTACCTGTGAGAAAGAATGTACAGTATTTGTCATTCTTTGTGACATTTCACTTAACATAATGCCATCCACTTCTATCCACTTTTCTGCAAATGATAGGATTTCATTCTTTTTAAGGCTGAATGTGTCATTATGTTTAGATAGCACATTTTCTTTAATGTGTCAAGCTTAAGTCCATGTAGTACCTATTGTGAATAAAGCAGCAATTAACATAGCGTGCAGGTATCTCATTAGTGTGCTCACTTCGTTTCTCTGGATGTATAGACAGAAGGTGGACAAATCATATGGTAGAGAGAGTTTCAGCTTTTTTTTTAGAGAGTTTTAGCTTTTTTGAGAGAGTTTTAGCTTTTTTGAGAGTTTTAGCTTTTATGAGAGAGAGAGATCTCCATACTGCTCTTCATAATGGCTCTACTAATTTACATTTCTGCCAACAGTGTATGAGTGTTCATTTTTCTCCAAATTCTCTCTAGCATTTGTTATTTTTGTTATTGTTTAATAAAAGCCATTCTAACTGGGGTAAGATGATAGCTAATTATACTTTGATCTTCTATTCTATAATGTCTAATGATATTGTTTTTCATATTTTCATTTGCCATTTGTATTTCTTTTTGTTATTTTATTTAGGATTTATTAATGGTGTACAAGGAGGTTTCATGTAAAAAATGCTCACCATCTCTAACCATAAAGGAAATGCAAATCAAAACCACATTGATTCCACCTCACCCCTGTTAGAATAGCCATCATCAAAAACAATACCACCACCAACATGTGTTGGCGAGTATGTGGGGAAAAAAGGAACCCTCGTACACTGCTGGTGGGAATGCAAGCTGGTGCAACCACTCTGGAAAAAAATTTGGAGGCTTCTTAAAAATCTAAACATAGACCTGCCATATGATCCAGCAATATCACTCTTGGGGATATACCCAAAAGACTGTGACACAGGTTACTCCATAGGCACCTGCACACCCATATTTATTGCAGCACTATTCACAATAGCCAAGTTATGGAAACAACCAAGATGCCCTGCTACTGACGAATGGATCAAGAAAATGTGGTATTTATACACAATGGAATTTTACTCAGCCATGAATAAGAATGAAATCTTATCATTCGCAAGTAAATGAATGGAACTGGAGAACATCATTCTGAGCGAGGTTAGCCAGACTCAGAAGACCAAAATTCGTATATTCTCCCTCATATGCAGTCTTTAGATCTAAGGCAAATACAGCAATGTTGTAGGACTTGGGTTACATGACAAGGGAGAACATATACGGGAGGTACAGGATTAGATAGAAAACCCAAAACATGAAAGCATTTGATGTCCCCACTCCAAAGGAATTAATACAGAAACAAAGCGACAGAGGTCAACATGAGAAGGGGATCAGACCAGTGTAAAGATCAGTTAGAGATGAATCAACCTGGGTTGTAACATATTTGTACATGAAAGCAATGCTAGGAATCTCTCTGTATAGCTATCCTTATCTCAACTAGCAAAAATGCTATGTCTTTCTTATTATTGCTTATTTCTACTCTTCAACAGAACTAGAGAAAAGCACAGAACAGGTTCTGCCTGGAAGAGAGGGCAAGAGAGGGTGGGGTCGGAGGGCAGGGGGAGAAATGACCCAAACAATGTACACACATGTGAATAAATGAATAATAAAAAAGGAGCTTTCATGTGAAAAATCCATATATGCATACAGTGTATTTTCAGCAAGTTCACCTCCTCTATTATAGTCCGTAACTCCTCCCTCTCCCTTAAAAAATAATATTTGGTGGGTTTCTTTATGCTCTCTCCATACATATATAAGTAACATATTTTGATCATCTTCATGCCCAGGAACCCTCTCCATTTCTCTTTCCCCTCCCTTTAACTACCACAGTGACCCTTTTGCACTTGAGTCCCATTATTATTTTTCATCATTTTAGACCAGGATTCCACATACGAATGAAAACATGGGATGAGTGGCTTTTTGACCATGGCTTATTTCACTCAGTATTATGATCTCCAATTCCATCCATTTTCCTGCATACAGCATAATTTCAGTCTTCTTTATGGCTGAATAATAGTCCGTTGTGAATATATACCACATTTTCTTTATCCATCCACCAGATGTTGAGCACCTTGGCTGATTTCACACTTGTCTATTTGAATAATGCTGCAATGAACATGAATGTGCAAGTATCTCTCTTGTGCGCTGATTTATACTCTTTTGGATATATGCCCAAGAGTAGTATAGCAGGGTCATAATGTAGGTCTGTATTTATTTCCATAGTGGCTAGACAACTTACACTCCCACCAATAGTGTACTATAAAGACAGCCATTCTGACTGGGGTGAGATGGAATCTCAATGTAGTATTGATTTGAATTTCCTCTATGACTAAGGATGTTGAACTTTTCTTCACGTATTTATTATCCATTTGTACTTCTTATGAGAACATCTGCTTAATTCATTTGCCCATTTATTAATTTGATTATTTGTTCTTTTGGTGTTTAATTTTTTGAGCTCTTTGTATATTCTGGCAAAGATTTTCTCCCATTCTGTGGGTTGTCTCTTCAATGTGGTAATTCTTTGCTTTGATCTACAGAAGTTTAAAATTTGATGCAGTCCCATTTGTCAATTCCTGTTCTTATTTCCTGGGTGATTAGAGTTCTATTTAGAAAAGAATTGCCTATGCCTTTATCTTCAAGAGTTTTCCCGTAATAGCTTCACAGTTTCAGATTTTAAGTTAAGATCTTTGATCGATTTTGAATTGATTTGTACAGGGTGAGAGATGGGGTCTAATTTTAGTCTTTTGTATATGGATAACCAGTTTTCCAGCAATATTTATTGAAGGTGCTGTCTTTAACATATGTTTTGGGCTTTGTTGTCAAAAATCAAATGAATATAGCTGTGTGGATTTATCCCTGGGTCTTCTATTATGTTCCATTGATCCTCATGTCTGCTTTTTAAAAATCATTTTAGGCCTAAATTCCACATATGAATGAAAGTATGTCTGGTTTTGTGCCAATACCAAGCTATCAAAAAAAAAAACTATGGCTTTGTAGTATAATTTCAAGTCCAGCTATAGCAATACTCCTTTTCTCAAGATTGATTTGACTATTCGGAATTTTTTCTTTTTTTTTTTTTGCTTCCATGTGA